CCCCCCCCCCCCCCTTCGCCTTAAAGATTCGTTTCCACTCGAGGTCATTTCGACAACGTCGGTCCGGCGGGAGAGGGCGAGCCGACCCCCGCTCTAACCTGTTAACCGTATTCAACATGTGTGCGGGAAGTTTCCCGTCGTTTACGCGCTGAAAAGGGAAATTTTGTTTTCTCGGTTATTGACGGCTTTCCGCTGTGTAATATGCCGTATTAATATTATGGGTCTACACGGATTTTATTTCAGTTTTTTATTTTCGTAACTTCGATATCGACTAAAATTTGTAGTAAGTTTTGACCGCAAAAATTATCTGACGTCCTGTAATATACTCACTTTCATAATCGCTGTAAGATGGCGCGCTAGTCACAAACTCAGCGGCGACAATGACGAGACACAGCGCGATTGTGCAGCACCTGATCGTCGGGAAACAATGCATGCTGCTTCTGCAACAATGGAGACAAAATATCTGTAACAATTGAAAGATAAAACTGTTGTTGTGACCGACATGCAACAGTCCAGAACAGAATGCTTGACCTTCAAGGTTTATAGCGATTTTTAAAAATCAGTGACGAAATGTTTAATCTGCTGTTCCTTTCTGAAAATTCAACATGGCACTTGCGCGCACTCCTGTTCTGACGAGTACGCTGTGTTCGAGGTTAATCTTGTTTCTGCCTTGCAGTTTGGCGCGACACAAACGGCGAACGGGACTGCGCAAATTTTCTTTCTTTCAAAGCTGAACGTTGGCAGCACTGTCGGTAATCTCTGTACAGCAAAATTAACAGCGGACGTTCCAATGACCATTCTAAATGTGTAAACTGAGCCCTTGAGAAGCTAATAGTTGCTCATTTTAGTCAATAAATTCCAACACACCACACGAAGGTGACTGTCTCCTGCGATGTTACGTCGCGTAGTCTGGTAGAAACTTGCCAAAGTTTAAGGGCCTGATGGATGGATGTTTCCTTACAAAGCGCGAATATTAAAACGAGGAAATTAACCGAAATTGATTGTTTTATTCGCGTAAAAGAATTTGAGAACTGTCTTCCTCTTGGCTGGGGGAACAAAGCACCGCAGAGAAGTTCCTTATTCCGCGAGACAATGCAACAGCGCTCAGACGAAGCTGTGAACGGTTAATACGGTTAGCGCGCCAGAAAGTTATTTGGCGTACATCCACGCCCGGAGTTTCATAGTTGTTGATTACGTCTGTCGTGTTCACAATGCCATCAACTCACATTCAACTGAAACAAAACGCACGCTCTCTCAAGTTTTGTTGCATATACTATTGACAGGATTAAACTAATTCTGTGTCGAATGTGTTTGCCGACGAAATGAATTTCAGTCCGGCGAAACATTTAGATGCACGAATCCGGTACGAGCTCAGTTGGCCGGTCGAATGTCCTCGGAACGCGGCGGGCGGTAAGACGCTGTAGGACCCATGGGACTAGAGACTCTCTCATCCGGACGTAATGATTTATGCAAAATAAAGTACACGTTTATCTTCAAATTACGGAACGTTTATTATCAAATCAGTGGTGTTAGTGTAACCAGTGTTTCCGGGAAGAAGTAATGCTTGGAACATGCTGCTTTTTTCGTCAGTGAATGCTGATTTTAAAAAAAAAGTCGGTAGATTTTCGATTGTAAGTCGTCCTTTAACGATGCTTGATTATATCTTTATGATTATAAATATGGCGTTTAAACGTCTTGGAAGTATAAAATGAATTAAGTAACGTTTTGGAACAATATTTTAAAATATTTAAGCTATTTATATCGCCATTTTCGTTATTGTGACGGTAATTCATAATTCCTCTGCGTAATTTCTAATCGCGAGACTAAAAAATTTCAATTTACAATTTAATTTTAATTTATGTACTGTTGTTCACATTGACTAGAATTACGTTGGAGAATGTTTTGGGTGGTAATTTATCACGCACAAAGTTTTGTTGTGGTTATATTAATTTAAAATCGGTGGGGGGGGGGGAAACGAGGCGAATTTGAAGATTATATTTTTGAAGTCATTTATAAATAAATCGGCACTCAAATTTGTACGGTTTTAGATTATAACGTATTAGAATGTTTTACAGTAATGGAAATTGCGAACATGGCGGCCGTGAAGTGAAATTGTAAAAGCGACGAAGTTTCTTTTGCGCGGAAGTCAGTCGTTTCTGATGTAAAGTAAAATGTACTATTCATGTACGAGTTACGAAGATGGAAGCCGTAAGTCGTAATGCAAAATTCACCGCATAATTCTTTTCTGGTACAGCATAAAACTGGATACTGGCGATGTTTTATTACGTTCTGGATCAGGCCCCAGGAAATGGAATACTTTAACGTAATCCCAACGGCTTCAGGTCCAATTCTGAAGTTGAATATTTCGTTATCCTCGCCAAAGAACAAGCCAGATTTCAATGACTGCAATCAGATCTATCTTCTTAATACGTTACACGTCGTAAGTACAGGAGAGAGCGAATTTGAAGTTCTGAACCACTGTACGCGTGTTCAGCCCCGCGAAATGCATGAAGCGATGTCCGCGAAGCGTAACTCGTTTGTTTTTTCTAAGAAGTGTTTCCTTCGAAACGCAAAATAAGAGGAACAAAAAAAGGGGCCGATATTAAGAAGGAGACGCTTATCGCGTAATGTGTATACAAGTCTTGTTATTAAATGCACGATGTTTCGGAAGCTGATTCTTCTGACGTCCTCAGGTAACCGGTGAGTTGAAAACACGCGGATCTTTTTTTTTTTGGACAAGTAACCCGAATATAAGAGAGTTGTATCCACTCACCGGTCACCCGAAGACGGAAGCAGATTCAAAGGCCGAAACATTGTCGACTTAATTATCGCAATTCAAAGATACGGGACTGGATATTTTAACTAGCGCAGAATAATTAATGTCAAAGTCTGGTGAGACGTCGTCACAACTTCGCAGGACTGAAATTTCGCCATGAAGACGGCATTAGAAATACACTGTCGAAACGTCGACGATCAAATCTTTCTCGACTGCTGTAAATTTTGAAGATAATAAAAAATTGTTCACACCACCATTACCATCAAAAATTATTATTAAATATTAACATTTTCAGTTTATTACTACATGTTTCGACCAACACTAACCATCTTCAGAAACAAGAAATATTATTTTTTGTGTAGTGTAATGCTTGGACAGTAAAGAGCGAAATATGTTGGAAGTAATTAAGACACAGGTGAGAGTGACTCGTAATTAAGGTAATTGAACGAAGCGTTGTGTAAGAATGTGGGTACAACTTCATATATCGTGGTTCTGTGTTGTTCCTGTGTGCGCATGCGCGGTGAATAAAGAGACGAAGGTGTGACGCGCGCGAGGCGAGTGGAGCTGAGATGATGGCCGATTCCAATAGCGAGAAGAGCGCAGAAGGTGAAAATGCAGTCTCGTACCGAAAGAGTTAGGACACGCGACCTTTTGGCAGGCATCAAATCACGATTGCAGCTTCCGACGTGTTAAGAGGAGCTTAAAGTTTTGTGAAGGGTTGACAGACCAGATTACATACGTAAACTCTTTGCGTGGCTTTGGAAAACGCAGTCCTTGACTGAGCCACTATAAACAATCATCCGGTGACAAACACCGCGTCGGACAGAAACGATTTCGGGCGACCCGCCACGAAACTTCGTTTTTCTCGAGACCTACGGGCTTAACCCTCGAACCCCAGCACCAGAGACCCATTTCCTGGTCTTCCGATGCGCGTCGCTCAGCAAAATACATCGCACTTTCTTTAACTTACAGGATTCGAGGTTTTCTCGGCGGTGAGTCCGAAGATGGCCGTCTTCTGGGTTGTTGTTGGTAGAAGTTTACCGACGTTTCGGATGTCCTTGCTGCCTCCTTCATCAGGGCGATGATCGCGCTGATGATGGAGGCAGGGAGTGGCCTCGAAACTTAAAAGAGAACGGGAGTGTGCAACCACGAATCAGTTGTTGAAGTCCCCGTTTTACGTAAATGGCCGAGTGAGGGCGCGGTCGTCATTACAATCCTCCTCGTGTAACAAGGTAATAGGACACTGAAGTTTTCATTTGCTCCTGCATAATGAAATAATGAAATCCGAGTCTCGCTTTATCTCTGTGGTCCGCTTACCGCGTAATTGGGGAACTTGTTAGCGAAAGTGTCGAAGGGATTTGAGCCCCTTCGCCCTGAATTGGTCAGCGCGTCATAAAATGGAACGAGTGTTTTACTGTTTTGTTCGGGGCCGGCGTCACTGACGACAGAAATAAGCAGACGATTTCGTTGTCAGTTTCTTATCGGCGGGGAAATTCTTTTCAACCAATTTCAGCCTAGGCACCGCCGCTGTCAAAATCTGTCCGACACCCGACGTCGTATTCCGGGAGCCCGGGGTTCACATCTCGGCCCAGAGACTCGCTAAGATGTTCTCTGGCATTCCTAATTCCGTATACGCAAACGCCGGGATATTACCTAAAATTAAGCCTCAACCGCCTCCTTCCACATCCTTTCCACTCCGTTATTAATTTGTCATTCGACGCTCAACAATTACGTATCTTATTCTGCAAAGACGTGTTTTAATAATATAATTTAATCTACTCGCAGTTCAACTTTCTCACTTTTCCGTGGGCTAAAAACTTTGTATGCATTTATTGTCTCTGTCCCGTCCACCTCGGTCTCCGTCATTTCTTTACAGGCTTTTGTGCCTCGTGGATGAACCGTGGACCCTCTCGTGAGCGCGCATCTGTCATGGGCTCCTGTTCCCCGTCGGGAACATATCCTCGCGCATGCGCGTTCCAGTTTCCGTGCAACTTTCCGATTCATCACGACTCGCTCCGCGCGGTAACGGGGTCTCTTCCGCAAAAAAAAAATAGTCCCTGCTTGATTTAGTGTTATTCCTTCCGGTAGCACAATTTTTTTTTGGGGTGGGGGTTAAAGTTCCGTGGTTCTACAAAAACTCACGATTACGTGAACTGAAATCAGTGAGGTTTTTTTTTCGCATTTAGCTGCGTTCAGTTGGCACTGCTGCTCGAAAACCCTCACGCTATTGAAAGTGAGACAAATAATCTTTTAATTAGAGGAGCGAAGTTTAATTAGTTCAAAAGGTGACAAATACAATCGCGCAGTGTTATTTTTTGGAGTCCAGAATCAAATTGTTCGTTCCAGTTAATACTCGCGTTGAGATGTCCAGTGCATTTGGCGCTGCTAAGTGTTGCCAACCACGGTTGTCGGTGATTTACGTCATGGAGAATTCGGTTACAGGTACGAGATCTGTTATTTTTATAAAACTGCAGCCTCCGTGACCTGGGCGGTTGAGTTTATGTCCCTGATGATGGAGGCAGAAGGGACCCCTGAAAGTTAGGTTCACTTCTACCCAGACTACACGTCGCTACAGCCCATAAAACAGCCATCTTGAGACTCACTACTTTTCAGACCTCAAATCCTAATTTTAGACAAGTTTTGAGGTAATTATGAACAAGTCCGCTGTGTTTACGCGAATAGTTGGTAAATCGACTTAACTGATCTTTGAGCAGTTAAGTCGTCGTAACTTAAGTAACTTAGGTTGCGTGTCACACAAAATGTCTCCTCCCAGGATATGCAACCTCTCGGCAACAAAGCTTTTGTCTTTAGCTGTACCAGAATCAGACCAGAATTAGATCACCGAAAGATAAATAAAGATCAATCTTCTTTCTCGCGCTGATAAATCTCCATCATCGATGTCTTTGTAAGCCAATTAGCCAGAGTTTGAGTCTTTGCTCCGAAGCAGCAATCACGTAATAAATTATTCTTTCGACGTAATGTCTCTTATCATTAAACGACGCTGTACCAAAAACTGTCTTCATGTCTGGAGTATAAACGTACGCGCAGAAAGAAATTGTGCGGCCATGAACACTGATAATGCATGAATCTCGGTTGAGAATAAAATTGATTTTACAGAAAAGGAAACGAACGCAATTGAGATCATTTTATTTTCACAGAATAAATTACCGCTTACTTTGATGCTTAAATGGAATAAGTAGCCTTCTTCACGTGCATTTATGAAGCTGCAGTTTGAGAATCGAACACTCGCACTGACTTTGCTTTTACGTTGTTATGAACTTTGCTTAACGCGTAATTTCGTAGGAGGACCGGATGTTTCCGCCCTGCGATGAAAACGTGTGGAGTACCAGCTCTCTGAATTATTGAATGACGTTCAGTCGGAGGACGGAAATATCAATTTTACAAAACAAAACTTGTTTTTAGTCAGCAGGACCGCACAACCGGAGAACCGGAGTCTGGAAAAGAGACTTTTGTGAGAACTTCTTACCTGTGGACGTCGAGGTCGGTGATCTTCGTAGTCTGACGATGGCCGGAAACTGCGAGTGGGTCGTCCTTTGGTTTTACGTCTCGTAGCCACGCGTGTTCTAACATCCAGTGCACCGGAGCGCCTTTTTTTATACAATTTCGCACACCCCGTGATCCGGTAGACGGAAGAGGGGAGGCGTATCTCCTCCTGGAACGTCGCGACGCGGCGCAGGCGTCCTCACCACCGCCACTTCGCTTCCGAATCAAAATTACTTTTCACCTGTTAATGACGAGGGCTTGACACTGACTTCGCGAAGTTTTGCGCTGTTCTTGACTGCTCAAATGACACGATCTCGTTCTCATTAGGACGTGGGTTTCAGAAAGAAAAGTTTAAAGTTTTGGGATGCTAGAATTTCATTTTAATAACAACGAAATAAGGGGAAAGCGAGAGCCAAGTTGCTCTTAAGTTTACTGAAGGCCAGAGAGTAATTTGTAGCAACGCAAAATCTAGTTTCGATACGTAACAAGCAGGTTTCCGAATTTGACTATTTTATTTTTTTACCACTAATTTAAATGAAAATCGAAGGCAGTTTTATTACAATTTTTAACAGAATAATTTATGATCTTTGCACTCAGTCGCTGTGTTTCTCAGTGCATTTACTCCAGCTCTCCGGAATTTTCCTCTTTGCATTAAAATACGGAGTGAGCTGTTCGCTTGTCTTTATGAGGTTTATTCTGTGAGTTTTACAGGTTATTTATTACTAATATTTCGTAGGGACTTACCGTCTCCATCTTCAGGACAGTAGAGGTGATCATTTTTCTGTCTTGATAAAAGACCCGGTCGTCACGTGACGTGGAACCTTTTATCCGGGTGTTCGTGGTTCCGGTGGGAATTTATTCTTGCGTGTAAGCGTCAGGTCTTGGTTATGAACAGTTTACGATGTGTTTCGACTACATTCAGTTATCATCAGTCCTAAATTATGTATTTTACTTAATATGTTTGTATCGTGATTAGGCCCGGATCAGACGGACGAGAGAGGCGCGCTGACAAATCGCGAAGTTTGGAGCGACCTGGACAGACTACCGTCTCTTACGCTCCATAAATATCTGGCAGCCATCATTTTCTGTGGCTCTTTCGTCAGAGACTGCGTTCAGTGTTAGAACAAGTCAGCCGTGGGCTTCGTGCCGTCGGAGTTGCGAGTTACGAGCGATCCTCCAGCTGCAAGGCGAGAGACTTGTGTTCGTTCGTTCCGTCGACAAGAAAAAGCGCGAATCCAAGACTTTCTGTAATAAAAATTATGATATGTAAACGAACAGAACATGAAGAGCGAAGATTTTTGTGCTGACCAAAAACCCAGCTGATGAGTTCATCGGCGTCTGTCGTGTTTCACTTCGAGACGCGCCAGGGAGAGCCCGGACGTGTGAACTTCACAATCAGCCTTTGTCGGCGTTACCATGAATTGTCTTGTTACTGCGCTGAAAAGATTTTGGGCACAGTTCTCGTGTTTCACTTCAAGACGCGCCAAGGAGAGCCCGGACGTGTGAACTTCACAACAGATGGCGCTAACTGCCGAAGTTGTGGCTTTGCTAACTTCTACGAAACATTTTTGGCAGAATTTCCAACTAAGTTTAACTACAAAATGGTTTCTGTTGCCTGTTTTATTCTTACGCGAATGAAATTAAATAAGATTAATACGCCTGTCAGTAAGAACAATGTTCACGAATGCTTCTGAATACTTTGGTCTTCTTCAGGAAGTAATGTCTGATGAGAAAACACATTAACATTTTATGAGTTTATTCTGATTTGAACAACATTCTTTCTTCCTTTGCTCTATCCCAGTCTTCTTCCATCTTTTACCCCGTATTCCTTTTTGTTCCTTTATTTGCGTCATAAACTACGTTCCAGGAAAATATAAATTAAACAAAAAACAATGAAAACATCGTCCCATTTATTATTATAACCCATCGGACCCGGCAGTCATCGTCGGTTAACGAGGCGATGTCCCCCGCACGTCGTGACGTGCGGGTTGCTGTGGCCCAGGGTGGACTCGTCTCCCCCGAGCTCTTCAGTCTGTATGGCAACGACGTGCCTGCGCCCTCCCGCCACGTCGAGCTAGCGCTGTTGGAGGATGACGCGGCTTCCGTGGTCACGTCCAATAGTCCATCGCTTCTCGTCGGTTATCCGGAGGCCTACGTCGGCAGACTGGAGCTCTGGCTCCGGGCCCGGAGGATTGCGATCAACGTGTCGTAGAGCACATCCAAAAGCCCAGATGCAGTGCAGTTTCTCGGACAGCCGATACGATGGGTCTAAACGGCGCGGTATCTGGGGGTCACCTGGACTGCGTACGAAACACCAACGTCTTAGTGTTAAGGGGCAATGCTTTTCGAACGCAAGGGACGATGAAAATGTCGCAGAACAGCCAAAAAAAAGTACTCAAAGCTTTTATTATTTAATTGGTTTTAAAATTTTATTTCACACGAAGACGTAAATTTGCTATGCAGTATTGAATATTTGTTTAACCAATTAAAGGCTGGGTTTTTTTTGTAAGCGTCAGCTGTTGTGACGTAATATAATAGGAACGCTTTGATTGGCCACTTGGGAACAGCTGACAGATGATAACACGCTTCCCAGGACTCCGACAGTCCAGTAATATCCGTCTCCGATTATTTGAGCTTGGTGCTTTCGGTGATTTATTGTTCGTGCGTGACGCAGAATTACAATTTGTGTGGTCAGCCAAGAGGACACTCGAGCAGTGCAGGGAGTTCCGTAATCGGAATGGGTTGCGTGACTTTCCGGTCACCCTGTGCCGGAATTTGCTTTCTGTACAAGCTGTACATTAGTTGTTGGCATCTGATGGTCAGCGAACGCTCTCTGCCGCAAATCAGGTTAATGTAAAAGTTGTTGTGTGTTTACGCTCTGACGGAAAATTCCTTGTTCTTGCCCGGAATTAAACCCCGTTTGTCCTGCCAGTAGCCACTTTACAGTGACTCAGCTAACCTGCTGCCGACGTATTCTCCCCATCCAGCACAAACCTCCCGGAGTTTGACATTTTATCTAGGTTCTGCGTTGGCTTTAAGTTTGTTTCTGTTGGGTCCAAGTTGAGGTTTAATCTGTTAATCGCCGCGAGTAGGAAAGGATGTGGAAGGAAGCGGTAGTGGCCTACTTTAAGGTAATATCCCGGAATTTGCCTGGAGGCACTGAGGAAAACCACGGAAAACTCCAGTCAAAGGTCTCCGGAACGAGATTTGAACCCGGACTTCTCGAAAACGAAGCAGGAATTTTTAAGGAGTCCTACGAAATATTTAGTAGTACAGAAGAGAGCAAACGAATCTTTCTCCCCTTAAATTTTGAATTTATAACTCGTATTTCAAATAAATCGCGGATGTTTTTCAGAGAAAATGACGGAATATGATAGCAATTTGAAAATTAAATTAACTCACCTTTTACTGAGATTAAATTAAGGGCTGTTCGTAATTTGGGGGGCGAATTCGGAATCGAAACAATCGAGAGTGACTGAAAACGAACGAGAGAATTTATGTCGAAACGTCGCTGGTTAATTTCATGGGACGTTTCATCAGGTGCGTCTCTGGTTAATCGATGTTTCTAGAGAGATTTTCAGTGAAAGCAGAGGTTTCGAGGGTGAAAGTACCGCTGAGTTTGTTCTTCGTGTCGTCAGATGTCAGCACGGACTACAAAGGCTTTGACACTGAAGAGAGTTTGTGCGCTCGGGCATTGTTGCCGGGACGCGTCTGGCGAAGTTTGTGGACATCTCGTTTCAGATAACAATGCGTCTCGTTACTCGGAACAGGTAGCCTACCGAGACATTTGATAATTTCGCTGAAACTTTTGTTGTGAAGTCGTCAAGACACTCGCTATTATTTAAAGTTTGCAAATTTAGGTTGCATTGTTACAGAAACCTGGAATGAAAACGAATTTTACTGATAAGAAGTTTCATTTGAAACACCGTGACTAGTTTTTTGACGTAAATACGTCTTTAAGGAAGTGTCATTCGACGAAAAAGTGGAACGAAAAAGTGTAACAATGGTTACCTAGGGAACGTTCCACTTTTTCGTCGAATGACCCTTCGTTATAGACGTATTTACGTCAAAATACGAGGTGCGATCGGAAGGTTTCCAGACTGCGCGTATAAAAACCCGTACACTTATCTCAGGTATTAAATTCATCCATCACCCTCGAAGTAGTTCCCCTGGGAGTGAACACAACGATCCCAGCGCCGCTGCCAAGCCTGGAAGCATCCCTGGAAATCTTTCTTTGTCAGCCTGTCAAGCACCATCTGCGATTCTGCCTGAATCTCTTCTGTCGTCTCAAATCTCCTTCCCTTTAGCTGAATTTTCAACTTTGGGAAGAGGAAGAAGTCACACAG